GTCACGTGTCAGGACGTGCATGGGCTTTCTAGCTGCAAACTCCCGAGGGCCAAAGACACAGCCTTTTTATCTCCAGAGGTTCAAGGACACAGCGGACCCTCCCTTTTCTTTCTTTTCTTTTTTCTTTTAGCAGTATAGCTCCCACCACCCACTCTAGATGGCATGGCGAGATGGAGATGGCCTTGGTGTTAGATCAGAGGACCTGGAAGTACTCAAATCATTCCCAACCTCCTGGCCACTCACAGAAAAAAGGTGAAGGGAAGTAATAGGATACTTTGTTGCTGGCTGGAGCTTTGGCCCTGGACTCAGGCAGCAAGACCAAATGACCTTTTTCCTTAGGGAGTCAGGCCCCAGAGCCTTGGACCCAAGGGCCCTTTCCCCCTAAAGCCACAGCCGAGTCTCAGATGAGCAGAGGCCAGCCCAGAAGGAGTGGGGGCCCCGGCGGGGGGGCCTTCCAGGAACAAAGGCAGGCTCACCTTATCTGAATGGAGCAGGTGGGGCTGAGGGAAGAAGAGGGTGCGAGAAAGAGCTGTCTGGGGCTACTTGGAACAAGTGGGGTGAGGGCACACACAGAGAAACACTTCTTTGAAGGGGGAGCTATCCATGGGCCTGTCCTCTTTGGTCTGAGCCCCAGGCTCAACACCGCTCTGGCTTGGCCTGCAAGGGGTCTGGCCCTAGGGCACGAGGTCTTTTAAATAGGCACAGTGACCCCAACCCACTAGCACATTGGCCCAAATGACATCCTTGAATTGGCCTAAGAGGGCAGTGGGAAGGGACAGAGAGAACTTTTTCCCTCCCCAGGGCCAAGGGCCACATCTGTACATCCCCTCTGCCCTAACATGCCTGCCAGGCTTTTTTCTTTTTTCTTTTTCTTTCTTTCTTTCATTTTTGTTTTCATTTTTGTTTTTTTTTTTTTGCTTGTTTTTTTGTTGTTGTTGTTTTGTTTGTCTGGCAGACTGCTTCCATGAAGGCCCTGGAGGCTATTTTCTTTTTACCAAGTTGTTTAGGCTCATTCTGGAGAATCAGGTGGCAGATGGGGGAGGTCTAGAGGGTTCTGCTGTGCCTGCCTTCTTAGAGGAGGTCCAGGATGCCCAGTGACCTCTGGAACTGTGGCATTGTATCCTAATTGAGTGATGTTCTTTCCCCACATCTCAGATTTCTCCAATCTCTCCAAATTCACCCTCCCCCCCACCCCTGGAAATATATATGTGTATTACTCAGATAAAATGGAGTTGCGAAGCAGTTGGTGTCATGGAAAAGTGGCGGCTCTGGGCTGCAGTCTCTGTTTTCTCACTTCCTGGCTACGAGAGCTTGGACAAGCTCCTAGCTCCTTAGGCCTGGGTTTGCTCATTTGCAAGACAGGGGCGTTGTCTTCCCTGGTGGTTGTGAGAATCACTGTGATGCCGTGTGGGGACAACCTGGGTTGTGCCCAGCAGCATGAGATGGTCAGTGAGAGGTAACAGTTACTCTAGATTAGAAAAGAAACGCAAATAATAGTAATAATAACAACTGACAGGGAGAGAACACTAACTATATGTCAGACACTAAACCAAGGGTTTACATTTAATCCTACTCAATCCAAGAAGAGCTCTGTAAGGTAGGGACTGTCATTAGCCCCATTTTACAGAAGGAACCCGGGACACAGAGAGGCAAGTCACTTGTTCAAGAAGTAGAGTCAGGATTCAAACCCAGAGACCCTGACTCCAGAGTGGCTATTTTAGGAAGGGGAGGCAAAAAGGGGGCACAAGTGAAGCAGGGGTACGAATCACACATGGCGCAGAGGTTTGTCTGATCTTAGAGATGGGAACCCTCTGAAGCATTTGGTGAAGATCTCATTGGGGAGCTAGTGTCCCCCACCCCACCCCCACCCCCGCTTGGCTGCCTGAGCCATCCCATGTGGACGCTGGGTAGGGAGAGGAGCCTCTCCTATCTTTCAGAGTCTCTGTTGAAAGAGATGATTCAGCTTCTCAGCCAACTCTGATGCGTCCCAGGCAGCCCAGACCCAGCCAGTTGCGGGCGGGGGTGGCAGGCGGGGAGTGGTGGGCAGGGCCTCGTATCTCAGAATGCGGGGGTTCCAGAGGAGCTGGGATGGCAGCATTGCTGACTTGCAAAAGATATCTGTTGGCATGCGGACAGAGTGAAGGAAAGCTTGTAATTGTCGCCATAAATTAAATGCGGACGGAGGAAAAACCATCAGACTTTTTGCAGTTATTTTGTACAGAAGAGGTGGAAAAACACAGCTGTGGTGTGAGAGCTGGGCTGGCGGGATGTTGGCAGAGGTGGGACTTGCGGGTTCGCCACGGAGTAGGGGGGGTCCCCTGCCCCAGAAAGCTATTGCAATGGCCCTCACTTTCAGGATGACAAAATAGCCCGTTCCCAGAGAAGGAGGGCCCTTCCTCTTGGGGGCTGTCCTGGCGGATACCTGAACAAGCCCAGTGTATCTTTAGCACTCTTGCTTGCCTCTTTATGGGTTTTGAGTTCGGGCTCTGCGACTTAGAGCCCTGTGCCCTTTGGCAAGCCACTTAAAAGTAAAGGACTGTAAGCATCTGGTGCCTGCCATATGTCAGCTCCTGGGGTTGGCCTTCTCAGCTGGAGTGTAGCTTCTTCCTCACCAATACACTTGATTTAATTCAAGCATCCACTCCCTGCCCCCCTCCACCCCCACCCCCACCCCCACCCCCCAGCCTCCTGCTTCAGCCCAGGTTGGGCCCATCCTTAGCTTCAGAAGGTGGGTCCTGATTGGCTCCAGCCAGTCATGGTGGTCCCATTCCTTTTGTTTGTGATGGGCTTAGGCATGGCTATGTAACCCCATCCTGGCCAATGAGATATAAGGGGAAGTCCACTGGGGGTGCTCCAGGGGGAGGTTTCTCATCTCTTACTCCTAGGAGGAGATGGTCTCTTACACTTCTGGATACTGTGTCCACGGCCACCGTGAGCATCTAGCTCCCAGAGGCTGGCAACAGTGATGAGGATAACAGAGCAGAGAGGTGGAAGGAACTGGGGCCTCGAGCTGCTATGTTAACCATTGCTGGGGCCAGCCTACCTTGTGTTGTTGTTGTCTAAGCCATTTTGAGTTGGGTTTTCTGTTAATGGCAGTTACGTTTTCCTACCACTTCTTGCTTCACCGAAAAATGGGTAGGTTCTAGAAGTATGTTCTTTTCCCCAAGTCAGAGGGTCCAGAGCTGGGTTGCTTGGTCCCAGTGGTGTCATTCTCTTTTAGCTTTTCGGATAACAAGGCACCCCCTCAGATGCAAACACATCCCTAAGATGGGTTCAAATAACAAACACTTTGACCCTCCAACATTCAGGCCATTTTGCTGGATAGGGCTCATCACGGCAGGTGTGTTCTCTCAGGCAGACAGAAAATGATCTTCGCCTCACTGCTTATATTATGGGTGCCTTGCATCAGTATGTGCTATTAATTGGAATGAGATATTTTTACATGCAATGTGGTGAATTATTAAGCACCCACTGTCTAGTTTTGCCTCCGAATGTCTTGTGCTCCCTGAATGTATGCAAGTCGGGGACTAGAAACTCCATGATGCCTGCTGGAGATCTCTGGCTTTCTAATGAGGGATCCTGGAGGATCTATTCCATCTGGGAGTTTCCCACCTCAGCTCTTTGCCTGGGGGAGGAGCTTATTAATGTGGGACCGTCCGTTCTGTCAAGAGAGAAAGAGTAAAGGCCTACATCCCTCCCTCTCCCTCCACCCCCACCACACACACCTCCAAGCCAGACGGCTGGGACCACTGAGATGCTGGTCCCTTTTTTGAGATGCTAGGGGACCAGGCAGTGGTCAGGGAGGAGTCCATTTCTGCTGGAGCAGACTCCTAACCTGTGTCCCATATTTGACTAATGCACCCTAACCAAGTAGGCCTCCGCTTAATATCCTGGGAGTCAAGTGCTCAAGTCAAACAACCCCAGGGAGGACAAGGGAGATTGGACATGGACTGTCCCTGCTCTTACTCACAGTTAACCCCTGCTTTGGGGCTCTGTAAGGCCCAGGTGGAATCTGTGAGTGGATCCTCGGGGGAGGGCAGGGCGCAGGAGTCCTGAGCCCAGCTAAGTCCCAGTGAGGTCAGGACGATCTGGTCTCTCCAGGGACAACCTCATCAGTCTGGGGACAGAGGTGGACCTCAGCCAAGAGAAGGCAGGGAGCACCTTCAGACTTCATGTGCTCCGTCCTATTGTCCTCACGGGGGCTTCTCTTTGCTCATGGGAATGGAGCTTGTTCTCTTGGAGGCAGGGAGTGCTTTCCCTGCTCCCTTCAGTTAGGGGGAAACTGAGACCAGTGACTCCTAACACAGCCTTAGACTCTCCCTAGGGTCAAATCCCGGCTGTGCCATTACTGTTTGACTGTGCTGGGTTTGTGACCACTGTGTCCTGCTGTCCTCATCCACATGGTGGGGAGAAGCACAGCATCCCTCTCACGGAGTGGTCGGCCATGTTACGAGAGTCGGCGCGTGGAGAGCACTCTGAGCAGGCACGTGGTAGGTGTCTGAAAGATATGAGCCGCTATCCTGACCTTGAGTCATCCGGTAAGTGAGGCATCCAGCTGGGTTCTCTGCCAGAGTTCTTCGTTATCTGATTGCAATCCCCCCGTTTGTCAGACGTGCTCGTATGCCACAGTTCTGAAAATGGTCCCGATTCTCATTCAGCCTGCACGTTGGCCCTGTGAGCGAGGTGGTCCTGGGTTACTGGTTCCATCTGATCAATCACCAGAAGGTAAGGAGCTCCGAGGAGCGGAGCGGACACATGTGTCGGCATGTGTAAGGGGGACAGGTAGGGTTCCAGAGCCCCTCCATCTAGGCCAGCCAGAGGTCTCCACGAGGAGTCACAATGAAGACAATCAGCATCTCCTAATCTAGAAAACCAAGGATTAGAGGACCTGCGGCTGAGACAGAAAAGGGCCAGCTGGGAGGGCCGGCTAGGTGGCGATCCTGGTGCTCTGGCTTGAGCACTCCGGTCGTGGAGGGGGGAAGGGCTGAGGTGGGCAGCTAGTGGCCTGTCCTGTCTCACCCAGTTGGGAGGCCACTCATGGAGCTGACGGACCTCAGGTAGGACCCTGGGCAAAGCCAAGAATGGTAGCTCCCCAGGGCTTTGGGGCAGAAATGAGAGGTTGAGGGGCACTCAGGGCAGCTCCCCTAAATGTTTTTGCTCCTCTCTGAGCTGTGTTCTGAGTGTGTCCCATGTGGAGATGGAGTCCAGGGCTGAGGGAATGATCTGTCATATGCAAGTAGGGGGCTGATGTGCACAAGAGACCTGGATACCTCACTTCTGGTGGCATTTAAAATATTTTAAGGAGGGGAGCACCTGAGTGGCTCAGTTGGTTTAAGTGTCCAATTCTTGATCTCAGCTCAGGTCTTGATCTGAGGGTCATGAGTTCAAGCCCTGTGTTGGGCTTCACACAGAGTGTGGAGCCTACCTAAAATAAAAAATATTTCAAGGGGGCTGCCTTCCCTTATCCACCACACTTCTGCCCCTGTGGCCTCCCTCCCACTCTCCTATAGCTGTTCCCCAAGCTAGATTAAGCTGTTTCTTCTGAGAAGTCTGCCTCTGGATTGTCTCTTTTTAGTCTGAAAACAACCTGACCATATCAATAAAGAAAAGTTAAAAAAAAAGATCAGCCACATAACTGCCAAACATTGTTACTTTTCCTATTTTTTCCAATCTTGGCCCAAGTGCTGGCCTGTTTTCACCGCCCCCCCCCCCCATCCTGTGTCCTACTTGTAAACCTGGCATCAGAAGCCTCAGTTGCCCATTCTTATGATACATTAAATTGGCTCAATGCCCCTTCCAGGTATGTGGGTTCCCTTTGTCTGTCCATCTGCCCCTCCAGGTCTACTCTCCACTGTCCCCAGCCTGCTTTGGCCCTGGGGGAGGGGCACACCCCTGGTATCTCTTAGTGTATTTAAATTTCAGTTCCCTCTTTACTTAATAACCTCTGTAAAGGCCCTGTCCCCCAGTACAGTCACATTCTGAGGTACTGGGCGTTAGGGCTCGAACACGGTTTGGGGGAGTCACAATTCAGCCCATAATGTCATTCCCCCTGCTCCCTCCCTATGGGCTCACTGGGGGCCTGGCTGCGTCCTCCACAGAAGGTCACAGCTCTTGTCAGTCTTGTCAGACAGCCCCCAGCTGGTTCTCTCCGGTCCCCCCTCAGGCCTAGTGCAGCTAACAGTGTGGGGCTGTTCCCAGCCCTTGGGGTGTCTACACACACGCCCTGCCCGCACCTTTGTAAATGGTCCTTTTATTCCACTCTCTCCCATTATCCTTGGTGAGCATGCCATCTGTTCCCTGCTGGGCCTTTGCTGGTTATGCCAGGGATGGTGGCAGACCCAACAGGGCTCCCAGCAGCTCTGAGGATTCCTGGGGGCGCCGCCCAGCTTCAGCTCGCCTGTTCCGTCTTTCCTTGGTGTTGGGATATGCTGCCTTGGTCACGTATTAGAGACAAGAGGGGAGAGAGGGAGATGACCTCATGTGGCAATAGAGCAAATGCCTTACAGAGAATGTTACACCCCCCCGAAGACTCCCTGCCCTGAGGAATCCTCATGGCCCTTCCTTCACACAGATATGCATTGAATGTCTGAATGTTCCACTTGGCAGCTCCTCTCTTTCCTCCAACTGCCAGCCCCAACTCTCAAATTACTGTTATTTCTTTTGCATTATCCAATTCAGTGGGCCCCCCTCCACACTTTCAACCCATCCAGGCCGTTCCCTCGGGGCTCCACATTTCACACCCAAGGACACCGCCTGGTATTGGGCCAACTATAGATGCTCCCTGAAGACTCTGCCACCATTTGTAAACTAACAATGTCCTCTTCTGCATTACAGCCTCTTTCCACTTAATACTATAGCAGGACAATCTTTCCATGTGTTATGCACACTCATGCTGTCCCAAAGAGGCGGCGTGCCTCCATTTACCTGACTGATCCCCTGTGGTTGGATAGTTATGGCATCTATACGTCGTTAAACAAATCCGTAGACCCAGTTCCTTCCTTCTTCGTTCTCCCAGTCGCAGGGATGTGGAAGTGGTCTCTGATCATGTTTTCATCACCTTGCCACACAGAAAGCCTTGACTTCCCCTGAGTTATCTTGAGCTGGTGGTGGTTGGTGGTTCTCAGGACCGCCACCGAGAGGGACTCATGAAGACCAGAAAAGTTGGAGACCTTGGAGCTCATCTGAAAGGGAACATTTGGCAAGCCTGTTGAATGGAGAGCCCATGTTGAAGGAATTATGGCATGAAGAGCTTTGCCACCAAACATTTTAATAGCTGCTACTGGTTCTACAGACCTGTGTAATGAGCCAATGAGAACAGTTGCTTTTTATGATGAGCCTAACAACTGCAGAATTTCCCAAAGTCTAGGCCATGGAACGCTGGTCACACGGCATCCTCTGAGAAGAGAAGAATGTTGAGTGGTTAAGAAGGTTTGGAAAGCACTCTCTCCACTTCTAATGCATTTAGTAAAGTCTCAGAATCAGGCAATAATAAAAAACATTCATCTTTAAAACCCATTATTTCCCAAAGTTATTAGACATCTTTTTTTTTTTTTTTTTTTTTACATAACACCATTTAACATCTCACAAAACTTGAGGTTCATGGAAGAGACTTCAGGAAACATTGCCCAAAGAAACATTACCTGCAAGGCTCTTCTGAATAAAGAGAAAAGGTAGAATGATCAAAGATGGTCAGCTTTATAATCCTGTGAAGATTGCTGATACAGACATGGCAGCTAAAGGGAGTGCGGGATGAGGACATCCTTTGGTCAGGCTAACCAGTGGCAGGCCTGGGGTATGTTGAGTGGCCCTGGAAGAAGGTATGAGTTAGGTCAAGGAAGGTTCGGGGACAGTCTGGAGTCCTAGGGAGCATCATCACAAACATAAGAAGTTAGGGATATTTGGGACATATTGTGAATCTTTTGAAGAAAAATCAACACAGAAAAATCCTACTCTTGTCCTAAACCGTTCTTAACTACTCTTTTGAAGACTGGGTTCTGAGCTGGGGGATGGGGGCTCTGTTCTTAGACTTCCCAGCAACCTGGCGTGGTCCTGTTTGGGCAACATAGGGACAGCTAGAGGGCAGGTACTTGGGCTCAAACCCATCTTCCCATCCTCTTTAGAAGACTGCCTGTGAAGTGGGGTGGGTCCTAACTGCCATTATAGTGCCATTTAGTCTTGCCTGAGGGGTTTTCCTAGGGTCTTGAGAAGCCATCAACTGTGACCTTACCTTCCCCCCACTTCCATGCCCTAAGGCAGTCCAGCCTCCACCCCCCCACCCCAAGATCAGCTTGGAGTCCAGGAGGGAGAGAGACTGCTGGGAGTGCAGGCCCAGGAGCCACTGAGTTCTCCACAAACCCTGGCCTGGAGCTGCAGCAAGAGAGGGGTTGTCTGCTTGCCAAGAGGGACAAAACTGCCCCAGAGAGATGGAGAGAAAAGGGAGAGGAGGAGGTGAGATCTGCAACACAAAGAGAAAGGGTCCAAAAGGTCATTCGTTGTGTGGCTGGTCTGGGCGCCCCCTTCTGTGTTTCCAGCCAGAGGACAGGCTTTTAGGTTACCTGGTGGGCTCCTCATCCGAGAGGCTGACTGTGTGCATTTGGGGTTCCTTGCAAAGCTGTCCACGAGGGTGCTGGGGGTCACGGGGATATGCAGCTGTCTCCGGTTCCTGCTCCCCAGTGAGGGACCAGATAGCAGTGGCCCCAAAGCAGAGGGTTGCCAAGACCACGTGCCTTATGGGGAGGGGCAGGGACAGGAGTGCAGTACCTTCAGAGCTGATGGTGGGACTGAAAGAAACTCATAAGAATAATAATATCGACGGCAAAAATGAGCACAATACCGACAATGAGGGCAATAGCAACAACAGAGATGATAATAGTTCATGCCTTATTCATGTAACTAGTATTCACTGAGTCCCTCCTAGATGCCAGCCCCAGCCAGGCACCCAGAATGGACTTAAGTAGACAAGGTCCCGGCCCTCATGGCATTTCCAGTCCAACGTGGAATCAAGCTGAGCTTCCCAGTACCTCGTCCCACCGAGATCACGGCAGCGTTTGAGAGCTTCCCAGGTACGAAGCATCGCACTCTTTACCTGTCTCACCTCTTGTAGTCCTCGCAACAAATCTACGTGGCTAGTGCTTGTATCAGCCCATTTTACAGATGAAGAAAAGGAGGCTCAGAAAGGTGAGGTGCCATGCCTTTGGACATGCAGTATGAACCTGAACTCGGCCAGGGAGGGACCCAGACTGATCAACCACCTTTCTTGCTCTTGGAGGGGAGGCTGAGTCTGACACAAAGGTGAGGAGGGCACATTATACCTGTGGAGGTGAGGCGGATGATGGTACGGCAGGGCCACGCGTCAAGCGGCCGCATGCAGAATGCCAGGCACTGGGCCTCTGTGGCTGAGGCTGATGGGATAAATGTGACCAGGGTGCTTTCGGTCCCGTTGCCCCAGCTGGGGGCTGAGGACCTGCTCTCTGCACCTGCAAAGGTGCAGGTCAGCGGATACCCACTGAGCGGTGAGATGACAAGGGGATTTCCTGGCAGGAACATATGCATTCCCTGGGAGATATGAAGACTTTGTGTATCTTGTGGGTCAGGGGATGTTTGGGTGTGAGCTTGAGTCTGGATGTAGGCATGGGCGGGGCATGTAGGCGGGTGGGGGCAGGCTGGTGGGGCAGGGTCCGTGTGCATCAGGGAGAGGGAGGAAAAGGCTGGGGGAAGGTCGGGTGTGACTCTTGGTGCCAGCATGAGGCCCGTGAGTTCCCCTGTGGCTGAGGGTGCCATGGGTGGTGGCAGAGGGGCGCCGGGGCAGGCCTGTGTTGGGATGGGAGAGAGGCTTGGTGTGGGGGCATCTGAGCTTCCCCGGGGGCTGCCTGTAGGAGAGTCTTCCGCCCTGTCCTCTGACAGGCCCACCCGTCAGCTCTTCGGAGCTGCCAATCTTCCCTTCAGGGAGTTGCTGTCTTTTGGGCTTTTTGCAACCCGAGTGAGAGGGGGAAATTCTCAGGCTCCCTGGAGAATCATATCTGATTGAACCCGGAATTCAAGGAAATGGCTAACAAGCCTGTGAGAATCAGGAAGGCATCAACGACTGGAATTATCCGCCTGTTGTAAAATGGCACCAGACCCTCCAACCAGCAGGGTCTCCTCCTTGGCTACACGTTGGAATCACGTGGGAAACCTAAAAAAATACTGATCTGTGGGCCCCAGAGGTTCTGATTTAGTCGGTCTGGGGTGTGACCTGGGCGTCAGGATTTTAAAGCTCCCCAGAGGATTCCAGCCTGTGACCAGAGCTGGGGACCACTGCCCTGCAGCATTCGGAGGCTCTTCAGTCAGCAGGGACACTGAAGCCACGGGCCCCCCCAAATCCAAGTCCTGTCTGGACACCCAGGGGCTGGCTCTCCCTAGGGTGATTGTAGCACTAGATTTCTTGAAATGCCCTGAGGTCCTGAGAGGAGACGTCCGATTCTCGGTGGAACCTCCTGAGGCCTGACACCAAGAGGGCTGTCTCCTCAGCGCTTGTCTCTTTCTGTCCCTTGTAACTATTCTTTCCTGCCCTGAGGCAGGATCCCCACCCCAATCTGCCTCAAAAACCAAATTTCCTTTTGACAACCATTAAAGATAAAATTTAAAAAATCATCTAAGAAGACATGTGTAACCCACTGGAAATTTCAGGGCAGTGAGTCATTGTGCTCCTGGGCCCCTCAGATTCTTATGTAAGGTTGAGTCACTTTTTGTGAAGTCCATGCATAGCAGAAAAAAATGGGAAGCCTCTCAAGATATGTGTGTGTGTGTGTGTGTGTGTGTGAGAGAGAGAGAGAGAGAGAGAGAGAGAGAGAGAGAAACAGAGAGAAGCAAGAGAGAGAGAAAGTGAGCCAGAGAGCAAAAGAGTCTTGTCATTTGTAGCTTTCAGACACTGGTGGTAACTCTGAATTAACATCAGAGATTCCTCATCCCCTATACTGGTTTCCATTCCCTATACTTCATTTTCCCTCCAAATTTTACCCCTTCATAGAAGTGAAGGTGTGCAGATCCCATCGTCCAGCCACTCGGGCTCAGGCACGGCTGTCCCTGGATCCCCAGGACAGGTAGAGTGGTGTGGGTGGGATGCCTCTGTTCTGCTCATCCTGGGGGAGGGGGGCGGGGGCTACACCCCTACTATGTGCAGGCCCCAGAGACTGAGAGGTGGATAAGACATGTCTGGGCCCAGTTCTGGGTCTGGGTCCTGTATTTCTGGATTTCTCAGAAAAACACAGAGGGTGTGGAGCAAGATCCAGGAGAAAAAAGAATTGCAGCCATTTTAGGGAACAAAATGAGGGAACCCATTCCCTGCGGAATAAGGTTGCTCTTTGAGAGTTTGACCATAAAACTGATACACAGACACAGAGCAGACAGAAGCAAAGTCAAAAAGAGGGAGAATGGGCCCAGGCTGGCAAAACTGATTTGGGTGTTAAAGGTAAAGATGCCTGTCTGAAGGGGCCAGGTCTGCCATGGGGGTGTCGAAAAGAGCCAGGCCCCAGAACATGGACATACCCAACTCCCACTGCCTCACAGAGGGAGAGGGAGTCTGGCTACATCCTCCCAGGGATGGGCATGCCTGCTGGGGGTGGGGGTGGGGGTGGGGGTGGGGTGCTCACACTGGTGCTGCTGGAGATTTCCAGTCTATGCCCAGTAAGGACTGGCCCTGGTTTTGCATCCAGGCTCCCCAGGACTGGCTCTCCAAGAAGTGTGCCCCGGGAAAGGGGTGGCATTACATCTAGAGGCCAGAGAGTGACCAGGTAGTGATCCTCTTCCTTGTGAATGAACAAATCCCCCTTCGGGGTTGGCAGAACAGTCCTGTGAGCTTGCCCCACGTCACTCCTTCCCTCCATCACCAAGAGACACAGATGAAAGATCACCAGGAGAGCCCCTGGAGGTGGCCAAGTCAACAGCAAACGGAACCCGCTGGCCTCCCCAGGAGGGTCCCCAGTGCCTCACCCCTTTCTCTTCCTCCTGAGCTGCGCTGTTCAGTGAGGTAGTCACTAGCCTCCTGTGGCTGTAATTTTCTAGGGGCGCCCGGCTGGCTCAGTCAGTGGAGCGTGCGACTCTTGGTCTCAGGGTGGTGAGTTCGAGCCCCATGTTGGGTGTAGAGATGACTTGAAAATAAAATCTTTTAAAAAAATAATTTTCTAGGGGCGCCTGGGTGGCTCAGTCGTTAAGCTTCTGCCTTCGGCTCAGGTCATGATCCCAGGATCCTGGGATCGAGCCCCGCATCGGGCTCCCTGCTCGGCAGGAGGCCTGCTTCTCCTTCTCCCACTCCCCCTGCTTGTGTTCCCTCTCTCGCTGTATCTCTCTGTCAAATAAATAAAAAATCTTTAAAAAAAAAATAATAATTTTCTACATTGATTACATGTAGAAATATTTTAGATATATTGGATTAAAGAAAGTGTTATTAAAGAATTAAAGTGTAATTAAAGAATTAAGATTCATCTCTCTGGTTTCTTTTTACCGTAGCTCCTACCTCAAGCACCTCCAAAATGAAAATAAAAGGACAAAGACAACAGAAGAACAGACAACAGCCACAGAATCTTGGAAGCCAAAATCGGATGGGTGAGGGGTCATGGACTTCAGTGATCAGATAAAGTTGAATTCAACATTGGTGTCCTGGGTCAAGTAGTGTCCCCCTAAAATTCACATCCACCTAGAACCTCACAGGGTGACCTTATTTGGAAATAGGGTTTTGCAGATGTAATTAGTTATGTTGAAATAGGGAGGGCCCTCAGTCCAGTCAGGCCACACGAAGATACAGAGACACACAGAAAGAAGCCCCTGCTGGCTGCAGGCAGTACGGGAGGCCGGGGGGGGGGGGGGGGGGGCGGGGGGCGGGGGGCCGGGTCTCAGGGTTACCCAAACTACTCATTGGCTCCCAAGGATGGGGGCAGGGGAACGGAAGGTGGGGGGAGAAGCCACCTGGCTTAGACAGCCCGGACTCATGTTTTCCTTGGCTGGAGCTGGGATTCCTCTTAAGGTTCCTGCCCCCAGAGAGCAGCGTGGCTGGACTGGGTAGTGGCCAGATGCCCTGTTTCATTCTGTTTGTCCAGGCTGAGAGAGGGACCAAAGATCATCCATGGAATGTGTGAGGGATGAAGAGCTAGCGGGGGCTGTGGGATTTGTCTTTAGAGGCGGGAGTTCAAGGGGCTGGGATTCAAAGAGGGTCTGACCCAGAACCCTGAAACAGCCCACACTTTTGGGGGGCTTCTTGAGTCGCAGGGAAGCAGGCTGGACTGTTCTGGTTATTCCTAAGGTTTCCAAGGGATCCCAGAGGTGACCTTGAAACCACTGTCTGGAGCCTCTGTTAGAAGAGACTCCCTCCTCTGCACACTGTAATACCTAGTATTATTAGTATTATTTTTGTTATTGTTGAATGACTTTCCTAGAAACACTCAGACCAGTCAAGAGCTCAGGTCATCCGATTTTTACCGTGCAGGCCACCTGCACCTAACCAAACCCCTCCGTGTATTTTTTTTTTTTTAAAGATTTTATTTATTTGACAGAGAGACAGAGAGAGCAGGAACACAAGCAGGGGGAGTGGGAGAGGGAGAAGCAGGCTTCCCGCCGAGCAGGGAGCCCGATGTGGGGCTCGATCCCAGGACCCTGGGATCATGACCTGAGCTGAAGGCAGACGCTTAACGACTGAGCCACCCAGACGCCGCAGCCCCTCCAAGCCCAACGCCTGGTTGTCCTTTCTGCCTCTGAGATGCCATCCCTGGGGCACTGGTCACAGCTCAAATAGGAGCAGCAATACAGCATATCATTCTTTCTGCAGATATTTACCGAGTGCCCTCAGGCCACATGTCCGACGCTTGCAAGCACTGGGTGACTGGGCCAATCTCTGGGCCACTCTGCAGGAGTTCGCTGGGCGTGCAGGCAGTGCCTAAGCTCAGGCTGCTCAGGGGAGCACGGATTCTGACCAGTGAATCACTGGCCAGGCCAAGGACCCTGACTCGGCACAGTATCAAAGTGAGGGTGAGCTCCGGCGGGGGTCTGGGTGCCTCTGGCTCTCTCAACAGGGAGCCTGCTTCCCTCCCTGGGCCCGACTCCAGCTCTCAGGCCTCTCCTGCCACCTGCTTCTTATCTCTATTGCCAGTGTTTCGAAAACGTCCTCCTGAGTAGCCAGGGCTGTGAGCTGCTGAGAGCAGGGAGAGATTTGCTGCAGGGTGATGGGGGTCCCCTGGGGCCTGGTTTCAGCGCTCAGAGCTTGTCAGAGCTGGTCGGGGGGCGGGGGGTGCCCGCCAGAGGCCGGCCACTCCTGCCAGACACCCGCTCCCTGACCCCAGCAGCCCACCCCTCCCTCACCTTGGGAAGGTTGAGATTTGTGGTTTTGATAGATGGGGGAGGGAATGAGATGGTTTCTCTAGACCCCAACTTCCCCCACCCCCCCACCAGCACTTTTTAAACAGGAAATCCAGGGACACCCACTCTGTTTTTCTTGGTTTGCACAAGACCAGAAGACCGAGCCCGTGTGCTTAGGAAGAAGCCCTTCCAGCAGCCATGTGCAGATGGCAGGCCTGCTGGGACAGGGGGACAGCAAGGCCGGCGGGGCAGCCCACCTCTGGGCCTTGCCCTTTCATGCTGGCGGTGCAGGCTTCCAGGACTCAGTATCCTGGGGTGACAGAGCCCCCAACCTGTCTCCCTTCGGATTATAAGGACTCCAATCACTAGTGCTTCTAGTCTCTTGACCATTTTCCAGTTCCCATGAGGACCGAAAAGAAGAATTGGACATTAGTTCCAGCGATGGGGATGTGGATAAACTGAGGGAGGGGGGCGTCTTGAGATTGGGGGCCCCCAGACTGCTGATAGAGCTGCCCCTGGCAGGTTATTCACAGACCTACCCCTGCCCATGGGCTTTGGTGTACACCTAGTGGATGTACAACCAGGAGACAGATGTTTTCTCCAGATCTTTCCAGCCTTACGGCTTTTATAATTAGACCTGGAAAAACATCTTTTCCTTTCTTCGTTTCTTTGAAAAAGCAAGATTGGCTTAAACACAAAGTGATCATCGGGGCCTTTTGAAAGTAGAAAAACTAAAGAGATGACCTTTTGAGAATAATGCTTCATTTCCTCGTTCTGCCTCCCCATCTCTCCCCCATGGCTCCTACCCCCGCCTCAGTGAAGAAAATGCCCCTGCTGTGGCTTTGACTCTAGAGGAGATGGAAGACCAGATAACAGCCCCGTGTTTCAAAGCCATTTTCCCCAAGGGCCCAACTGTTTGCAAAGCCTCTGAAAAAACCTTGGCCAACCTCCTGGCCCAGCTGCTGGCCTTGAAACTGAGGCTGCTTGGCCTGTCCAGGAAGCCCGTAAATCCCCAAGTCGGCAAGAAACTGCACTCTGGAGCTTGCCTCTTTGCTCAGATGCCTGGCTGCAGGCCCTGGACTATCCTCGGCCAGTCTAGAAGCTGGTGTAAATAAGCACATTTATCTGAGGTAGACCTCATTTTTCTGAGGAATTGTATCCCCTCAGGGGCATCAGCAATCAGAAAGTTCATTGTTCCCTTTGGGAGCCATAGCTCTTTCCCACCTGACAGTTGATATTTAATTGATGGCTGTTGTCCTTCATAGGGTTTTTAGCACATCACATGGTATTAGTAAAATTCCAGCTAAGTAACTCCTTTGCTTCTGAGGCAGAGAGTGGTGGCTCTCTTAATACCTATTTAACCTGTTATAAGCTCCTAAAGGGAGAGTTGCACATATAACATAGGTCAAAGTTCGAAAGCCTTGCATTCCCGGAGGCCTGAACCAAGCACAGCTTGCAGATGGTGGTGCCTGGGAGCTGAGGCAAGCTGTGAGGGGAGCCGTACTCAAGCTAAATAGCTCATGAAGTAAGTCTTCAGGCACTAGGCATGGCAGTGGGCCCCAGCTGAAAGCAGGGGAGTCCTAGATACAGCCCAGGCTGTCCTCGAAGCTCAAGAGCCTCAGGAGGGAGGCTGGCTGCCAGCCAGACTGGCTGCCACAGGCCTATCTTCTACCCATCCTGGCTCCTCAATGGCTACCTGGCCTCAGGCCAGTCCCTGCATCTTCGTGCCTCAGTTTCCCCATCTGTGGTAGGGGATGGTGCTGCTGAAGGAGAGGATGGGGACGCAAAGACTGTGGGAAATGCTTAGTACAAGGAAGGAGCCGAGTGAGGAGGGGTGGCTGCTGTGGGGCCCACCGGCCACATCTTGCCAGCTCAGTTCCATCTTGGGCCCGGGAGCCAGCAGGCTTTATAACCGCAAGCGATCTTGAGATGGCTCTTGAACCATAGTGCTCAACAGGCGGGCAGCCCTGGTCCCCTCATGGGCACACAGCCGAGTCTCTGCTGGCTGGGAGCATTCTGCCTCCTGGGCTCGTCTTGGGAGCTCTTGGTGGGCTGACAGTGCCCCGAGAGATCCTGACCAGCCCTCTCCCCCTCTCCCCAGTCCTTCCTGCTTGGGTGTTTGGGATTAACATGCATCCCTTGAACTTGTTCATTTTTCTACCCAGATGGAAACTTGGCCAGCGACCAGGCCTGGATGTGCTCGCGGTATGGCTGGGCTCAGGCCAAGCCCACAGTAATTATAATCACATGTGAGGCGCCCGCTGGCTCGCTGGGCGCGGGGGGCCGGGGGAGAGTCTGGCTGCCAGTGGGGAGGGCCTGGGCTGAGCGCTGGGCTCCGGGCTCCCGGCTCTGGGCAACTGTGCAGACAGCGGGACCTTGGGCTCCTGCCCTCACCTCTCTGACCCTCAGTTTCCTTGATTAAATGAAGGGATTGGCTTACAGGCTGTGGGAGGGCCCTCTGTATGCTCTGGAAGTCCCAGAGAGCATCAGACGTGGACCGGCTCTCATGTGGACCGACCCCCTGTGGTCTTCCCAGCCCTGGCCTGGCCTTCCACATACACAGAGTGGGACCTGAGCCTGCCCTGCTTCATCCATCTAGATGCTTTCTCGCAAGACACAGCGCCAGGGCGTATCGAGACTGTCGTTATCACAGGGGTAGGGGGAGGTGTAGGATACCAGGGTGGGATTGGGGGTGCTTAGGAAGAGTCTGGAAGGAGGGGCAGAAGAGTGTCCACGACAGCCTTCCCAGCTGCCCTGTGGCACTAGGGCGAACGCGATCCCATGTGCATTAGCCCAGGGGCGGGAGCTGCCCCTCCGCTTGATTCCATCTCTTTTCCAGTGTGACATTATTCTGAGCATGGAGGCAGCAGCCCAAAGAGTTTTTACCCAGTGGATTGTTGTGGCTTTTCCCATTCACTTTGGAATCTCAGAAGGCCGGAGGATGAGGAGCTGTTGAAGAGCTGTGAACAGGGGTTCGCTGGCTAACGGGTGTGGCCGCGGGCAGGGGTCACCTTCTCCAGCACACGGTCTGTGTAGAGGTGACGGAGAGGAGAGTTTCTGCAACTTCGCAGAACCCTTGCGGGTTTTTCTCCCTCTCCCTGCTTTCCACCTGTGCGTGTCTCCCCCCACTTCTTCCTTGGTCTCTCATGTCCTCCTCCACAGCTTTTCTCATTCCTTTTTGTTCTTCCTTCCTCCTTTCTAGTCAGAGGAGCCGAATGCTGTGGTGGAAAGAGAATGGTCTAGGGGTCAGGCAGCTTTGACCTCTGAGCCTCAGGCTTCTAGTCTACAAAATGCGAGGGCAGGCAGGGTTAATGATAACCTAACCACGGCATTGTTGTTAAGATTAAGTAGGATAGAGGCGCCTGGGTGGCTCACTCCATTATGCGTCTGCCTTCTGCTGGAGTCGTGATCCCAGGATCCTGGGATCAAGCCCCATGTCGGGCTCCTTTCTCAGCGGGAAGCTGCGTCTCCCTCTGCCGCTCCCCCCCGCTTGTGTGCTCTCTTTCTCAAATAAATAAATAAAATCAAAAAATTGATTAAGTAGGATAATATATACAAAACTTTAGGCAGGACAGAGAAAAATCGATAAAAGGCAGCATTATTTATCGAAAATATCAACTGAAATTCATCTTAAAAGATTAGTTATACTTAACATCTGTTCCCATCCTTAATAAAAATCAGGTAATTCAAACTTTTTTCTTCCTTGCTCTTAGAAAACAGAATGACCATATTCAGATGGATGGCTCTTTACTGCCTGTGGCTTCTGGTTTTCCTGCCCGAATGAACTTGGAACCAGGCTGCCAGGGGCCCCCCGTGCACCCCCAGAGGCCAAGGCCGTACAGAGGTAGGCGGGGTGCCGCGGTCCGGCCAGGCTGGACGACCAGTGCTCCTCGGGTTATCCTTCCTGTCTGCTCAGCAGAGCGGCCGCCCCATTTCCTCGGCTGCACTTGGTGGGAACAAGGGTTCAGAAGCCACCATGTCCTGGGAAGAAGGGAGGGGGCACGGGAACTGAAAAGTAGAAGAGACGTTTTACCACGTGTTGAGACGTGAATAAAGGCAAAATATTTGTCTCTGCCTAGGGCACCGCGTGGAGTACCGGACACATAGGAAGAGGACAGGGTTGGATTCGGTGAGCAGAGACCCCTGTGGGGGGCGCTGGTAAGTCATTCCTCCCTCTGCCTTCTGCCTCTTTGTCGCAGTGAGGGACTAAACACCAAGGTCCCTTCTGGTCCTAACCTCCCATGACTCTCTGATCTGTGTGAGCTGAAGTCTGGTGTGCTTGGCATGAAGGATGGGACTCTTCAGGCCTCCTCTCCGTCCCTGGATCCTTCCCCCAGCCTGTGAAAGGCCACTCAGGTCTCTGTTCCCTCAGACACGGCTGACCAAGCACGACACTTCCCAGGATCCTATGACCCTCTGGTGAACTACTGTTCCACCTTGCTCCCTCCTTTTACTCCCGAGGCCAATCGGAAGCGTGTGGGTGTTAATGTAGGGGTAGTACGCTGGGGTGCAGGCCTGCTTGCCTTGCACCTCTCAGGCCTTGGAGGGAAAGAGCAGAGGGTCTACACACTGGTAGGGGAAGGAGGTCCGCCCTGTACGATTGCACGGTCTTCTCAGGGAAATGGTCTTACTCCAGGTTCTGCTCCTACGTGGCTGGGTTTTGAGCAATGAGCCTCTTTTCATTCCCTAGAGCTGCTGTAACGACTGACCACAATTTGGTGACCTAAAATAACAGAACTTTATTCTCTCACGGTTTGGGAGGCTAGAATTTAAGGTATTGTCAGGGCCACACTCAGGTGAAATCAAGGTGTTTTCGGGGCCACACGCCCTCCAGAGGCTCCGGGGGGAGAGTCGTTCCTCATGCCCTCTAGCTGCTGGTGGCTCCCAGTGTTCCTTGGCTTGTGGCTGCATAATTCCAATCTCTGCCTCCATCTTCACATGGCTTTCCTCTGTGTCTGTCTTCTCCTCCATATGTTTCTCGTAAGGATGCTTGTTATTGGATTTAGTGCCCACCTGAATAATTCAGGATGATTTCATTTCAAGATCCTCAGTCACATCTGCAGAGTCCCTTCCTCCATAGAAGTTCCCATTCACAGGTTCCAAGATCAGGACATGGACGTATCTTTGCCGGGGAGGGGGGGCATATGCCACCCACTAGAGTGCTCCCTCCCTGCCCCCCTCCCCACCTCTCTAGGTTACTGGATGAGCTGTGGGCATCTGAGCTCCAGACACAGGCCCAGCTCCAGTCCACAGGCTGGCCTGCCACCCACCATGGGGTGGACTGAAGATACAAGCTGGCCAGTGGTAGGGCTACTTTCTGGAATTGGGAAACGGGGAGCGGGACCCAGCTAACAGCAGGGCCAGAAGGGGAAAGGGTGCTGGGGGCGATGCCCAGGGTGAGCAGAGATTGCGAGGGAGCTGCTCCTGGAGGCCGACAGGAGTAAAGCAACCCACAGAGAGGAAAATGGAGCAGGCACAGAGGGGAAAGAGGTGCCACGAGGGAGACCTCGCAGCTCACTAGAGACAGGGAAGGAACTCCTACTTCCGGAGACTGCCTTGGCTCCTGGCAGCTCTTCAGACACAGGGCGAGGTCATATGTACTGTGAGAAAAAAGAAGAACCCGTTCCCCGAGGCTCTGGAGAACCTTTTTTGGGGGGCCCCGAGAGCCTGCATGAGCAAAGAAAGACATTCCTTGTTCTCTGGGTGGAGCCTGAGGTCACCTCTGAAGACTCTTCGTGCAGATGTTATGACTAATCCCTCCCATGTGCCTTAGCAATGTCGCTTTATTGCTCTTCCCATCAAGAGGTGAAGTTGTCTCTCCTCCCGTGAATCCAAGCTTGGCAATGTGACTTATTTTGGCCAATGGGACTTTAGCAAATGTCAGCAGAGGCTTGAAACTCACTTGTGCCTGAGGATTGCCCTCTCTTTGGCCACGGTGGGAAGGCAGAGTCCATGATGTGGGTGGGCCTGAGCTGGCTGCTGAAGAGGCCACATGGAGAGCAGAGGTCTGTCAGCCTTAAGCTTGCCGACTGCTGGACACGTGAGCGAGAACATGCTGGACCACCCAGCCCTAATCAAAGCATCAGGTGACTACGGCGGCATGCATGACCCCAGGCAAGACCAGTGGAAGAACTGGCAACTGAGCCCAGCCAAACTGCTGACCTACAAACCATGAGCCGTGACCGTGCTTCTATTGTGAGCCAGTAGGTTTTGGGGGTGGTTTGCTACTGTACCTGATACAGTCCCCACGTAGGCGGGCCTCCAACCCCCCCAGATTTAGAGTCAGGCCCTGGAAGGAGACTCTGGTGGCTCTCAGGGGTGTGTGGCAGAAACCGTGATTCCCCCAGGAGCCATCCTCCCCCTTTTTCTTTTTAGGAATGGAACTTTTTAGTAACGGCACAAGTCCAACCAACTAGAGACTCTATTTTGCAGCGAAGTACGATGACATTTTTACTGATGGAATGGAATGAAAGGGATGCGTGCAACTTCTGTGTTACTTCTTTAAAAGGAATTTGCTTGCCCTACACTTCCTCCATCCCCCCTTCCTGCAAGCTGGAATGCAGAGCTGGGGCCAGGAGGGTGGACAACTGTGGGAGGGAGGCAGGACCTCGTAAGATGTTGCCTCACACAGCTGAGTGTGACAGGGCTGACCCCCACAAAAGGGGGGCTGCTGTGAAGGCAAGCGCTGGGCAGACAGGAGTGTGTCCACCAGGCTCCCAGCTCTCTCCCAACCCCTTTCTCTTGTTCCTCTGCCTCCTCAGCATGTTCCCTCCAGCTCCTAGAGCAGGAACAGAGAAAAAAGGGGGAGAGCAGAGGAAGCAGCATGTGCAAAGGTCCAGAGGGGAAAGAGGTCCTGCTACATTTGGTGCACAGAGAGCAGCTTGGAATGGTGGGGGGAGGGGAGGAAGGATGTGGGTGGGGGGGCAGGAAGATGTGAGGCTGAGACCATGTCCTGAAAGGGGTTGGTCGGTGGGGAGTCCCCAGCTGGCTGTCACTTAAGTAGAGGACTCTGGCTACTGTGTAGAGCACCGAAACATTGAAAGGGGACCAGTTGGAGGCAGGGAGGCCAGTTAGGAGGCTGTAGAAGCCTTCCAAGCAACAGATGGAGGAGAAAGGTGGTGCAGAGGAACAAGACAAGTACATTCAGAAATATTTAGGAGGAAAAACCGACTGGATTTGTAGATAAGTCTGTTGTGGGGGATATGGAAGAGGGAAGATTCCAGGCTGCCTTGTGGGGGTGCAGATGCTATCCACTAGGACAAGGGACACAGGCAGAGAAGTGGTGTGGGGAAGGTGAAGCCGGCTGGCTTCTGTCTTGGACATGCTGGGTTGGAGGTGCCATTGGGACATTCAGATTATTGATGCTTTTTGCATAGACCACTTCTGGAGTCTCTTAATTGGTTGCTCTCCATTCTCCCCCCCACCCCACCTTTTTAAATGAAATTAAATCCAACCAGATTAATGTCTCAGATGATAACACTGCCCTGATCACAACCTTCAGTGCTTTCCTGCTTTCTCGACGTCAGTTAGAGCTCTTTATCCTGGCATCTGAGGTCCGATGCCCACCCTCCTCCTCCCACATAGGCCACAGCTCCTCTTCCTGGGCCTCTGTTCTGGCCACACGGAACCACTAAATTTCCCCATTTATAGTCTGCTGCCTTCATACCTTGGGTCAGCCTGGAGTGCCCCCTTCTCATGGATACATGTACAAAATTTCACTCATCCATCAGTCAAGCTCATATGTTACTTCCTCCATTAGTTGGTCCTTGATTCCCTCTACAGAAAGATAATCCCCCCTTCTGAATTTCCACAGTATTTTCTCAGTCATATTCTATATGCATTATATATGTAAGATAAGACAGTGATTGATAGGCCTGGTACCAAAGGGTGTAGGGACACGGGTTATTTTGGTTGGTTTATGAGGCATCTGTTCTCCTGCCTCTGCACCAGCACCTCAGTTTTCTTCTAGGAGCCACCCTTTCCCCCGCTCTCGGTCCTTGAGCTCTGGACAGGGCTGACCCCCAACCCAGTCATGAGTCAGGGCTAAGTCAGGACTCATCAACCCAGTAGGAATCCAGGCAGGACTTCTGGGGGAAAAGGGCAGAGGGAACCTTGGAAGGGAGAGTCAGGGCTGGGGAGGAAAAGCCCACTGTCCATGGGGTGTTGAACTGGAAGATGAGATTCTGGGGCCATCAGCAGCCATTTGCCTTCACAAAGGGAGCACTCCCTCAAGAAAGGAGCTAACCAGAGCAAGACTGGTCCGAGACGGAAATTCCTGATGATGCTGTTTGCACACCTGGATTAAGCCACCCTTGTCCATTTTTAGTTACTTTAGCCAACAAATTCCTTTTTATGCTTGAGCCAGTTTAAATTAGGTTCCTATTACTGGCAGACAAAGATGGTTTAACTAATACAGGAGGCTCAAACAACCTGTTGAGTGAATGAATGAATGCATGCATGCATGAACGGGTATGACCAAAAGTGTCTCCCCTCCGCTTCCACCATGTGAGGATTCAGCAAGAATATACCGGCTATGAACCAGGAAGAGGGATCTCAGGAGAAAGCAACCATGTTGGCACCTTGATCTTCAACTTCTAGCCTCCAGAACTGTAAGAACTGATGCTTTTATAAGCACCCGGTCTGTAGTATCTTGTTAGAGCAGTCCCAATGGACAACGACAGAGCAGGAAGCTATATGTACATGTTTGAAGTTCAAAGGGAAAAGTCCATCAGTATTTGCACACTAGATCTTCCTTCTAAATCCAGGATTCTGGGAGACAATTGAGACTCCTAGACAGACGAAAAGGTGTTCCAGGATAAAGAGGACTATGAATGAATCATGGAAAACACAGTGGAAATGAGCAAGGTCCCCAAGGAGGAGATGGTGTACAACAGAATGAGTTGATACATGTGTACAGCATGAAATGATCACCACGTGTTATGAAGCCATGTAAGCAGGAAGAGATATTTATCTTGAACTCACGATACCTACTTAATAAGAGAAAATGGAGCAGAACCCCACACAAGCACAGCTAAGGATTCTGAGAGGAGTCAGGCTGTCTCCTGAAGGAATTCCTATTCTGAAATAACCTGTATGGTTATCTTTACGAAGGACAAAGAGACTCACCAAGGATGTTTTGTATACCAACTCCTCATTGTAGGGATGAGAAAACAATGTGCTGTTCCCTTCTACCTCCCAGCTAACTAAAATTCTTCTGATCTGGTTCTTCCCACCATTTTCAGCCACCTGTGTGGCTGAGTAACTAGACCAGTAGGTGATGGAGTCGGTCCAACCTGGGTTTGAATTCTGACTCTGTCACATGGGTCTACTGGCCATACCACCCTGAACGCGCCCGATCTTGTCTGACTCTGTCACGTGGGAGCCTTCAAGCTTTTGTTTCTCAGTTTCCTCATCTGTGAAATGGTAAAAACAGTTCTACTTTCTTTAGATGGCTGGTATGAGGATACAGTGAGAATTAGTAGGGGAAGGGTCAAGCCCTTGGAAAATGCTCAATAAACGGTGTCCACTAAAAAAAAAAAGTGTCTCCCCTCCTACTGCAGGAATGCTCCTTGTGGAGTCAAATCTCATAGTGTTATTTGGGTGGATTTCTTCAAGGAGTGATCCATTAAAACACAGAGTCTATTCATAATCTATAGGTGCCTCCCTGTATGAGGCAGAGAAAGCTTTAGAAGGAGAAGAAGCCAGGCATATTTCTGGCCTCGAGGAGACAGACATGCATGCTTTCTGAAATGTATTTGTTTGTCCTCTCTCCTCCCAGCTGCTCCAGGAAGGCGGCAACATTGTCCTGTTCATAGCTGTATTGAACATCTTTTCATGTGCTCCTTGGCCATTTGCAGATCTTCTTTGGAGAAATGTCTGTTTTGCTCTTTTGCTCATTTGCTCATTTTTATATTGGGTTATCTTTTTATTGAATTATAAGTGTTCTTTATATACTCTGGATCCAGGTCCCTGAGCAGATAGATGATTTGCAAATATTTTATTCCATTCAGTGGGTCATCTTTTTACCTTCTTGAGAGTATCATTTGCAGTACAAATATTTTAAATTTTAGCATATTAAAGAAACTGCTTTATTGAGGGATAATTTGTGTACCATAAATTTCACCCATTTGAAATGCTGCATTCAATGATTTTTTAATACGTGTACAGAGTTGTGCATCACCATAACCATCATCATACTCTAGTGTTAGGACATTTCCATCACCCCCTCCAAAGAACTGTTGTGGCCATTTGCAGTCCACTCCTGTTACACTGTCCACCCCAGCCGGCCCCTCTGGATGTGCCTGTTTGGGACGCGTCGTATAGATGGAATCCTACAACACGGAGTCTTTCACTCCTGACTTGTTTCACTTAGCGTAATGTATTTGAGGTTTATCTGTGTTCTAGCATGCGTCAGTAGTTTGTTTCTTTTTAATTGCTGGTTAGTATTCCATTGTGTATCTGTTCACTAGTTGATGACATTTGAGTAATTTCTAGTTTGGTGCTATTATGAACAGAGCCGCTCTGATTCAGCGCCATTGTCTCAGTAGCTCGGGCTGCTATAAGGAAACACTATAGTCCGGGTGGCTTAAACAACAGTTATTGCTCACAGTTCTGGAGGCTGGAAGTCCAAGATCCAGGTGGTGGCCCATTCAGTTCCTCTTCCTGGCTGGTAGATAGCTGCCTTTTCTCTCCCTTCTCACCGGGCAGGAAGAGAGATTTGGTTTCCCTCTATTTATGGAGACACTAATCCCATCATGGAGGCCCCACCATCATGACCTCATCTAAACCCGATTGCCTCCAGAAGGCGCCACCTCCAAATACCATCACATTGGGAGGTAGGGTTTCAACATGTGGATTCCGGGGGGACACAAGCATTCAGTCTGTACTAGTAATTACTGATATAATTGGATTTACATTTACCTTTTTGATAGGTCTCATGTCTGTTTTGTTCCTGTTTCTCCTTTCCTGACTCCTTTTGTATTAAGTAGCTACCATTTTAATTTCTTTGTTGGTTTTTCAACTGTGTTTGTTATTTTCGTAGTGGTTGTTCTAGGGATGACAATAGGCCTCTTAACTCATCACAAGGTAAGAGGATATTTGACATTTTATGTGACAGTTTGTTAGCTTGAATTAGTCAATAATTTAATATTTAATAAATATTTCATATTTACATTCAATTTATATTAATGTAAATTATTAGTTATTAACTTCATAACTATTTCATAGATAATTATTTCTTTAGCATTTAGGCATTTGGTATGTGGTCTCTGTCTGTACCCTCACCCCAGGGTCTGACCGTGTTGGGGACAGATGTGCCTTTCTCCTATTTGCATGGGTGTATTTTTTCACATAGCTATATTCATAGTACGAATTATATATTATGAATACTCCAAATATTTATCCTGGTTTTTATTTTATTTATATATTTATTTTTACCAGCTTTTTAAACTTAACATTTTGTTGTAGGCATTTTATTCGCCATAAGTCTCTGTGAACTTCTTTTATAAAAGCTGCGTTGGATTTCCTTGAGTGGGTGGGGCAAAGTTCAGTCAGCCATTTTCAATTTTAAGCTTGTTTCCTAATGTTGCAGTGGGCATCTTTGTGCACGTCACGCTTTCCCCATTTTAGAATCTTCGGCAAAAATCCCCAGTGGTAAGATTACTCTGTTGAAGAGAAGAAATATTTTTGTAGTTCTCGGTACCTATCAACATAGGATTGTCCTCAAGAATGATGGGGTGTAATTGTGATCACACTCATGTGCCAGCTGGGTGTCAACAGAAATGTTTTGTTTTTTCTATTTGATGTTGCCTTTCTCTGGTGATTAGCTAGGCTGGACATTTTTCTGTAAATCTGTTTACTGGTTATAATTTGTTTTATGTAAGTGCCTTCTTCATGCCCCTGCCCATCTATCTATAAGGCTCTTTGTTGGTTTTTAAACTTTCAGTTTTTATGAGCTCTTTATGTAATATACCCTCCTCACACCTGTTTAGGAAGGAGGCAGAGTATAAATACATAAATACATAAAACCAGATAGTTTTATCTCCCTTATTTGCTGCCAATATTTCTCCCCACTTGTCCCTTTTCAGTCATTTTTTTAATGCAGAAAATTTATACTTTTCTGTAGTCAGACCCGCTAATCGCTCCTTTGTGATTTTTATCAGTGATTTCCAAGTTTAATAAAAGACATTCTTCCTCTAGAGATCTGATGAATGTTTAAGTCTCTTCTAGTTTTCCTAGGTTATTAAAAAGTATGGAACTCTTTAATCCCTATAAAATTTCTCTGTGAAGACTCCCTCTGGTCTGAGGAAGGGGATGATTTCAAAGTATAAATTTCTCAAATTCAGCAGTTTCCTTCCCTGGTTTCTTTGCCTGTGACGGTACCTAGGGCTGAGCCTGACCACGTCCTGCAGGCTGTCTGTCCATCTATCTGTCTGGACAGAGGGGATAACAGAATGAGAACTTGCCTCTTGAGCTACACCCACATCCAAGGGGCAGCACAGCGTAGTGGAAGAACGTAACTTGGAACTGAGTTTGGCCCCTGGGTGTGGACTCTCAGCCTCTGATTCTCCCTCTGCGAAATGGGGCCAAGAGTGCCTGACAGACAGGGCTGTTGTGAGGATGATAGGAGACGAAAGACAGAAAGTTGTAGAACACCGCTTGGCCTCTCATGGATCTCTCAGGGCCCTGCCTTTGCACTGACTTGACTCCTGGGACCCACCTCATGACCAAAGGTGTCCCCGAGCCTCCCACCCCACAGAGTGTGGGCAGGCCTACCAGAGCAGTTAAGAGTATTTACTTTTTTAGGTGCGAAAACTGAGGGTTAGAAAGTTTAAATGGCTGCTCGCTTTGGCAGCACGCAGACTATAATTGGACCCATACAGAGAAAGTTAGCATGGCCCCTGTGCAAAGAGGACATGCCAATTCGTGAAGTATTCCATTTTTTTTTTTTTAAAAAAGCAGTTTAAACGTCCGAGCAGCAGATGCTCTTGATTGCTCTGACACATGGCATCCTCCAGCCCCACTTTGCCTCATCGAGCCTCAGCTCCTCAGCTTCCTCAATGGGAAATGGAGCTAATTGTCCTCATCGGTCTCCACCGCTGAGGGGTTATTGAATGATCAAATGAAAGGCTCTAAAAAAGGCCACGGAAAAATCCAGAGGCAAGGTAGCGTCCCCATGGGCGGCTCAAGTCCACTCCTCCCTCAGCCTGGACACAGACGAGGCCTTGTGTTAGGTCTGCGAGGCTCCCTGCCTCCCCGCCCCTGCTCCCCAGGAGAACCACGCAGAGACTCTGTGAAGGCCCCTTGTGCCCGCTGCTCGCTGGGCAAGAGGCCCAGGGCTTGGCGGAAGCCCCAGGAGGCAGAGCCTGGAGGTGAGCCGCACTCAGACCCCGCTGTGTTCAGCTTGGAGTGGCTTGTGAAGTGTCAGAGAGCCAGGGTGAGGAGGAACATGGGGTCACCCAGGCCTCCCCCATTTCACAGATGTGGAAACTCAGGCTCAGAGGGGCAGCCAGTTAGTGGTCATGTCAGAACTTGGGCCGGGGGGGATCTTGGCTCCCGAGTCCAGTGCACGTTCCCCTTGGCCTCTGCTGCTGCAGTGGCCTCCTTGGGAAGGGCTCCTCTGGCCCTTCTGGAAAATTCTTTGCAATTTGATGGCATTTGAACAAAACTGCATGATGCTGGAGGATCAGAGCGCTTTGACAAGCATAGCAAAGCGCTAAGAACAAGATGCATCCACAGTTAGGAGGGAGTTTCCTGGGAATAGAATTTTCCAGAAAGGGAAAGAAGCCTTTTGAGCCGGAGCTTGGATTTATTGAAGCAGTTGGAAGAATGTGGGGGCAGTGGCTGGAGGCAGGCAAAGGTAGTGCGGGCATTTCACTCCACCACCCCACCCTGGCATTTTGGCATTTAAAAATAAAGTTGTTTTCTCTTTTAGCACTTTTTTTTTTTTTTTTAAACAGAAGCCAGACTGCTCCCATTGAAGTTTGAGAGGCTAGCAATGGTCCTGAACCCTGGCTGCACATTAGAATCCCTGGGTGCTTTCAAAATCCCAATGCCCAGATCAAACCCCAAAGCAAGCATGCGGGAGTCTCTTGGGGGAGGACCCAGGCCTCAGTCGTGCTTAAAGCTGCTCAGGTAATTCTAATGAGCCATCAAGGTTGCTCAGAGGACCACCAGTCCCTGCATTACTTTGCCATCTGGTTTGTGACTCTAAATACATAAACACGTGGGGCAAAGGTGTAATTCTGTTCACCACGCATTTTTTTTTTTTTTAAGATTTTATTTATTTGACAGAGAGAGACAGCGAGAGAGGGAACACAAGCAGGGGGAGTGGGAGAGGGAGAAGCAGGCTCCCCGCTGAGCAGGGAGCCCAATGCGGGGCTCGATCTCAGGACACTTGGGATCATAACCTGAGCCGAAGGCAGACGCTTAACTGACTAAGCCACCCAGGCGCCCTCACCATGCACACTTTTTCGGGCCTTCTTAGGAACACCACCAGGAGAAATTTCACTCCTCTTCCCCCATCCCACCCAGCCCCCCAGTTCAATCTTACTGTTGGGGCCCTGCCCCAGGCCCACCTCCTCTAAGAGGCGGTCCCAAATCAGGATTCTTCTTCTACTGAGTTATACTGTGCCTCTGACTTGACTAGGAGCCCATGACCAACATGTGCATCTTCCCTGTGGCTTTACCCGATGTGGGTTGTCGTTTCTGTTTTCAGCCATGTGCATATTCTCTGCCCAACCAGATGGTAAACCCTCTGAGGGCAAGACCCCCATCCTTTCCATTCCCAGAGGCCTGGGGCTGCCCAGGAGCCTTCAGTTAAGACTTGTTGTCCAGGAGCTGAATGAAGTCATTGGATCCACTTGGGTTATACTCCACACATTTAATTCTGACAATGACTCTGGGAAATTGGGACTGTATTATTATTACTTTGTATCTCCATTTTATGATGAAAATAAAGCTCAGCTCAAAAGTTTGTGTAAGGTCACACAGATCAAGGAAGTGGCAATACGCCAGGCCTGTCGGGCTTCCTTCTGCACCACACAACTATCTGCTAACAGTAGACGTGTCCCCAGAGCAGGCAGGACCTTGTTGGGGGCCAAGCCAGGAGGCCTCTTTCTCTTGGAGACCTCTCTCTGACCGGGCAGTCGGGGAGGCTGTCTGGGAAGAGCTGTTTGGTCTCCAGCTCCTCAGGTCTGAGGAGGTGGTGAAACAGGGTGGAAGTTTCTGCTGAGAGCTTAAGATGATAGGTATCAGTTCCCAGAGTCACTGGAAACAAATGGCCAATTTTATAAGGAAACAATTTTAAGCTTGTTTTACAAATCTTACAGCCCTTTTTTGGGGTGGAGGGTCAGTTTGTTGGAGAATCTGGGGAAAGGGTTTATTTATTGAAGGCCAGATTCCTCCTCTGTGAGGAAGAGGTATGGAAGGTACCTGCCTCTCACATCAAGCTCAAGTGGGGGCTTCATCGGAGCTTCTCAGGGAGATGAGGATGGGATCCCGGCACTATGCACTATGGGGTGATGGACTGGTGCTTGACTCCCACTTGAGAAACCCAAAGGGCTAGAGATGGTTGGCCCGCTGCCCAGTGGATGAACCAAAGGAGAGTTTGCCCTGCTGAGATCAGTCTGATGTTCCTGAATCTTCTGCGAGAAAGGACGCATGGATGTATCCCACGGAACAGAGTAGAAAGGGTCTGTTGTGGGTTGAGTCCTGAGCCCAGGACCCAGAAGTGATGGCTGGTGCCCCTGAATCAGGGACAGAGCCACAGGGAAATGCAGCCCCAAGGTGGGCACAGGGGGCAAGGAATGGACTCTGGGGGCTTGCCCTGCCTCTGGGCCTCTGTCCTCTCGCCTAACTGTGGAGCCCGGCAGCAAGGGTGGTTCTGCACCTGGGGAAGCCTTTCTTGATCCCATCAGCCCTCCTGGGGACTCTGTGCACAGCAGTCCCCTCTCTAGCACTGCATCGTCACTGCTTACGGACCATCCCTCTTCCGGGAGAGTGCACGTGTTCTGTCTGCACAGCTCAGCGGGGTACAGTTTTCTGGGTTCACACAACACGGGGCTCAGCAAACTTTTTCTTCAAAGGCCACATAATGCTTTCAACTTTGCCGAGCCACACAGCCCCTGCTGTAGCAATCCAACTCTGCCGTCCCGGTGCGAAAGCAGCCACAGAGCCGACATGGACGAGTGGGTGTCCTTGTGTCCAGTAACCTCTATGTGCAGAAACAGACCGCTGGCCAGGGTGAAATCACACATGAGCAAAAGTGAAGCCTCATGGCTGTCCTATGGGAACACGTGTGTATCTTCAGAACGAGCGTTAAGGCAGAACAGTCTGAACGATGGGGCTGTAAGGAGGGGTGAGCGGACTGGGGCCTGTAAAGTCCTTACTGAGCCGTTGATGGGCCCATGGTCAATAGATGGTAGCGATTGTGTTGAGCTGTGGTAGAGGCTGTTGTTGGGATCGCAATGGATTCGGCAGGTCATGTACTTAGAACAGGGCTTGAAAGTTAGTTTTGAGTAAGATTTGATGAAAATGGTAGCAGCCTAAGGCATACTTTTATTTTAATTTTTACTTTATTATTTTTTTAAGATTTCATTTATTTGTCAGAGAGCGAGCACAAGCAGGGGGAGCGGCAGACAAAGGGAGAAGCAGACTCCTCGCTGAGCAGGGAGCCCGATGCGGGGCTTGATCGCAGGACCCCGGGATCATGACCTGAGCCGAAGGCAGACGCTTAACGACTGAGCCACCCAGGCCCCCCTAAAACATACTTTAAAGAAATTGTGGTAAAATACACATAAAATAAAATTTACCATTTTAATCATTTTCAAGTGTACAATCCAGGAGCATTTAATACATCCACACTGTGCAGCCATCCGCATTGTCTAGTGCTGGAACATTTTCATCACCCCGGAAGGAAGCCGCATGCACACTGAGCAGTCGTTCCCCCATTCCTCTCTCCTCCAGGCTCTGGAAGACATACATTGTTTTTTTTTCTTTTTTCCTTCACGTCTTCACAGCCCTGAGACCCAGCTGTGCTT